CAAATCCCCAAATGTGTTGTGCCTGATTTGCATATTTAAGTATGCAAATTACTGCAAACCGGGTAATTTTCATGTTACATATTTTTGCAGAAAAATTAAATGTGCAAAAATGTTTATTGCAACAATTACTGGTTCCATGGTCTTTCAACAAAAGGCTGTAAATCATCAAAATAATTGCATACCCATTAACTATTGCAGCACTCTGCCTGAAATTTTCTCATTCTTTAAAATATATTTTCCTTGCAAATGTTTACCTCTTCAGGATTACTTTCACTAAAAATGATGTACAAGCCTAAGGCTCTGTCTCATGTACCCACCCACAAATACTAAATTTAGTTAAAACCAAAACTAAATAAAGAAACCATAAATCAGAATTTTCTCACAGCACACCAAATAGTAATGTATGTAAAAGATATGCCATTCATGCCCAAGATACACAAATGCCGCATTGAACTATACCCTGAAATAAGAAAAAAGCTATCTACAATCTTTTCCTGCATCATCTTTATACTACTACACATGTAAGGAAATTACTCTGCTAAATTATCCATTGCAAATTGAGAAGTGAAATGTTTTGTGTTTCTGGTAAGCGAGTAGGACACCACTGAAGCAAAGTATACTGCTTCTAGCAATGCCTGCTTACTATGCACCACTGCCCAGTCTGTTTTGAAATTTGAGCCCCAAGAGAAAAAGAACAAACAAACAAAAAAAGCAAAACAAAAAACCCCACATCTATACCATTTTCTCCCCTGCTCATTTTCAGCAAAAGGCATACAGAGCAGTTTTTATCTTGTCATTCTAACAAAACACAGCATGATCCAGCAACCATTTCTGACCCTGCAGGTTTTGCTGGCACACGGAAGCTGGTTTATTCCTGCTAAGGACACCAGACTCACCCTTCATGAAGGAGTTTGGTCACAAATAATGATGGTTAATTCTGTTTTCCTAAAAGTAAATTAGAATTTAATTGCCTGTCTCTGGCATCCAGAGACAACAGGACATTCCCAGGTATGCTGGCCCAGATGTGCACTCCTCTCCGCCCTTGACCTGTTGTGCTGGTGTGAGAGATATCTAATTCCCCAATCATTCTTCCTGAGAAAATTAGCCAACCATTATTAGAGGAACTGTAGCCTGCTGCATGCAATATCTAAGTTGTCTACACAACTGTATCTGTGTATGCTGCTCCTCCTGAGGCACTTTTCCAGCCCACAAGCCCTTTCAAGTAGAGTAATACCTATCCTCCTTTGCTCCTGAGATGGGACCGATAACCCAACAACTCCCCAGCTCCACCTTCCAGCTCTCTTATCACAGCCTGCCTAGCAATACACTTGGCACCTGCAAACATTTTTCTTCAGGCGCTTACAGAGAAAACCTTCCATTGTGCCATAGAATGAACTCAAACTAGAATTTATTTAGTTGCAAGGAATTCAAAGAATTAGGTTTAAAGGAACAAAGACCTAAGCCTACCCTCTTACCTACAACTTGGAATTTCCTCTGAGCAGCGGGGAGATGCAATTTAGGCCAAATATCTCCCTGGAAAGACTTGCACACTCCCATTTACACACTTCCATAAATGCAGGGGATTAACACTTCTCCTGCTGAACATTTCACTTTGCTGTCTTACAGATGGATGTGTGCGCAGCACATCAGTAGCACTATGAAAGGAGGATAAAAGGTAACAATTTGATGCTTTAAATGTATCTATGTAAGCAGTAAGGTTGGAAGGCAACAAGTCAGTTGAGCTAATTATTTCAGCTTGTGCAGCAAGCTATGCCACGTGCTATACGTGCTTCCCATTCACACTCAGACGTTCTTGACTGAGTTAGCTCTCCAAAAGGTGGCTCAACAAGCCCAGTTATAACAAATAGTTTGGTGTGCAACCTTAATAATACCCCATATTGGCATCAGAAGAGGATATTGACAAATGACTTCGCCCAGAAAAATTGTTGGCCCTCACTGAGCAGAAAGCAGTCATTTGACACTGTCTAATGACATTAATCAAGCTCTGAACTTTTGTTGTTGTATGTCATAGCAAATGCTTAGCATTTTCAGGTCCAAAGTGCTTGACTAGACATTGTATATTAAAAACAAAAGACTTTAATTCATTAAAAATAGACTCTCACGCTAGATTAAGTTCATTTGCTGCACCCGTCCCTGGTCTGCCTTTGTGTGTGGTCTCATTTAAAACAGACACAGAGGAACCAGAACCTACTTTATTCACATGAAACAAAAATACTACTGGCTGTCAACCAACATAACAGACACTGAAGAATGGGAATACCCCTGGGTAAGGAAATTTTAATTAAAAAAAAA